GCATGCTGTAGAGACTGTAATGCATGAGTCTCCATAAAAATACGTGTTAAATGAAAATTGTTATAACATTTTAAAAATTCATGAATTGCTCTGAAATTTTACATACGTTTTCATATTAATAACATATACTCAGAAATAAATTTAGAAAAATATAGTATTGATTTCATTTATAGCTTATACAATCTTAATTGGAGTGAGTTGAATAAAGGATGATTTTACAGGCTAAGAGCATTATTTTGCGCATATTGCCAACGAAAATCGATAAAAAATAAAGAAATATCTTATTAATTCGATTTACATTTATCGCCTCGCCACATGGTCGTCGTTAAATCTTATATTCTCTATTTTTTTCTTGGCTTGTTTAAACTGCAGCAGGTTCAGACGAACACATGCATAATTATATTACTTCCATGAAATTCTAAAATACATTTCGACTTTATTTAGAACTACATAATTAGTTTTAGACTGAAATATTACACTGCTCGTGTGACGGTCACAATGTTAGTGAGTAATTGGAAATGGTAATTGGTATGTAACGGCATGTTATACTATACACTATATACAATACGAAAAACGCGTTGTTGCCATTTTATCTTCAAGCTATTTATACCTAATAAGTAGAATGTGTTACAGTGAAATAAGTGGTTTTTTTAAACTGGTGTAATATCGAGAGACACAAACTCAGAAAATAAATTTTTCTTTCTAAGCACACTAAACACTACTCTAAACATCACTAAAAAAAATTATCCAAGTCGTCATGTTGTCAAACTTTGTTAATTTAAAAATTTCAAATATTAGATTACATTCTAACATTGTTTATTGTAGGAGTGTATGAAATTAAGAAACTTCGGACATTATTTTAAAGTAGAGGTTACAAGTTTTAATTTAAAAGAATGATTATCATCCTACGATAATCTGTTGTTGAGTAATCATCTTCTAAATGTGGTCAATTTTTGACATAAATTTCGTAATATTATAATTATTTTTGACAGTTTATGAGAGTAACTGTATATCTTGGTGTAATAAGTATATAGTTAGTCGTATTACATTTATTAATTTCTTTAAATGTACTCTTTTCTAGAAAAAATATATTAAAGTCCCAATATTTTCTTTTAAGAACTTTAGCTTTTGAAATATAAGTATTACTTGCTTGTTTTAGTCTCACTTTCTACTCTATTCTAAACTTAATGTCAGCTAATAGTATAGTACTCTTGCGTCCCTTAGCTTATCGCGTGATTAAATTCGTTATAAAATGAGAAAATTATTCCATCAAAGGGAGCTAAACCTACAATTTCAAAGACATTCCGATGATAAAGCATTTATTGCTATACATAGATTCCTTTTGTTTCACAACTGTGATTAAAAAGGAACCTACAAATAAAAGCATTTATTGCTACATATAGATACCTTTTGCTTTACAGCTGTGATTAAAAAGGAATTTATAAAGTCGCAATTACATGCCGACTGATCGATGATAGACTGAAAGAAGTTTAAATTACACACCATCTACATACGATGTACATGTATAATAGTATATTGTCGCTAAAAACAGATGGTTGGAATAAAGATCGCACAGCATTTCACAGTTCACAGTAGTTGTGCCAAGCATTTCGTACGGACAGTACATTCATATGATACATGAAATATCACCGACGTATACTTTGCTATTCTTTTCTCAAGTGGTAAGTAAAAAAGCAACATGCACATCTTTTTTAATGTAGTTTTTCTTGATTTAACGAGACATTATTATTTTATCAATAAAATGAAGAGATACAATTGTAATTCTATAAATTTAAAATTCAAGTGTTTTTACAATTTAAACATACAGCAGAACCTGCGTTATATGAACTATTTAGGATACAGATGTCATCATCTACTGTACATAGAAAATCTTGATGACGAGTAAAGACATTTAACAAAAACATGTACTGCAATTTGTTAGTTGGTAATAGTCTGAAATAATAATAATTAAATTATTACTTTCAGGACTAGTGTGGTTTAACGAATTATCGAATTCACCGTACTAATACACACATTTGTTTATCCTATTTAAAACCTGGTCGAAGGAAGCATGAATTTTCAAGGCTTGAATAGTTTAAATATTTTTATGAACAAGTTTTCGGGAAATTTTTTACCTGTCACAAACGAGAAAAAGGAACTGACTGTTCTTCTAAAAATTTACTTACTTATTGTTTGGCTGACACAGCTAACATATTTGGCTACTTGTATCTTTGGACTTTTCCATGTGCCTAGTGAAAGAGTACTAAAGGACAGCACAATAAATATGATAGTCTCGGTGGAAGCAATCATTTTGATAATTTATCTATCCAACCGTAAAAGTTTATTACGCGCATTAATTGGGAAACTAAATTATGTTCTTCTCGTAGAAGATGAAGTGCTTCAGAAGGCCGTAATTAGTACAACAAGACCGTTAGAAAAACCACTGAGAATATATACGATTGCTAGTATCAGTTCTGTTGTTATTTGGACATCGTTGCCATTTTTCGAAGTGTTTCGGAAAAGTGAATTTTATTATACCGACTATCGAGTGCCAGCTGGTTTATTTGAGGAACCTTTCACAGTTGGCATTTTTATTAGCGGAGTTTTCCTTCAGATTTTCGGCAGTGGATATACGATAACCAGAAAAGTTAGCTTGGATCTCTACACAATGCATTTAATACTTTTAGTAACCGCCCAATACAAGTATCTCCGGATCAAATTTGCAGCGATATTTCAACAGCAATCTAGCAAGCAGCAGAATTCAAATGATATGATTAAACGGAAATTGAGATTGTTAACTTATCATTATGGAACCATAATTCAGTAAGTACGAAATTTTAATTAACCCTATAATGGACACTCTTATTTTTCGCACTTCCTGTGGACACACTGCATCGTTTATGACCTTGGCTTTCATCAAATCTGAAAAAATTCTAAGATACTTGTTCAAGTCTTTATTTTTATATTGTAAAAAATAACAAATAATGTTACATTTTTAGGGACGGGTATAATGTGTAATTGAGAGTATGAGGGTCAATATAAATATACATACAGCAGTCGTAAAACTATCTGTAAAGAGAGCGAATGCGTGAATGATTGTAAAAAACATGAAAATGAGTGGTTTTTAGTACTTGTATATGGGGAAACAGGGAAGGTTCCTTCATCTTTCTTCAACTCAACAATATAATTTTTGCCTGAACATAAGCGCTTCAGTGTACACATAGAGGGTTAATATCATATACATTAAATACACAAACATTACGTATTAATTTAAAACGATATTAATATAGTTATGTGCGTATAAATAGAAAATTCAATCTTGTCTACAGGGTGAGCCATCTAACACTTTAACCTAAGATATCTCGATTATTTTTAATTATACGAGAAAATGTACAAGAGAAGAAATGTTTGATTCGATTACTCTAATGGAAATTGTTTGTCCAAATCACACAGTCTGATACTTTAAGATTATCATTATTCTTTTAAACGGAATATATTGAATGATATAACTAATAGCTAGTGAAAAATTTAATCATGTATGAAAAGTTGACATTCATATGATTTTGGCACGAGCTTTTCTCGATAAACTATAACTCTCGAGAAAAGATATCTATTACTCGTGTTCCCAAGAGTCTAGGACCGGGCACAGTTCAGTTTTTGATCGTTCTGCGCAT